GTGGGGGAGCGGCGGCACCGGGGACACCCCGAGGGCGGGCACGGCCGCCGCCGGTCGCGGCCGCACGGTGAGACGGGCGGGCGGCGGGGGCGGGCGGGGCGGCTGCGGCCGAGCGTCCGTTAGGGCGGGGGACAGGGAGCAAAGGGAATCTGGCGGCGATTCCCGGTCCGGCCACCGACTCCGAGCAGGTTGGTGTGAGCTCGCGGGTGCGCCGGGCCTCCCGCGGCCGACCGGCAGGGCGGCGCGTCCTCCCTCCCTCCCTCTCTCCTTCCCTCTCTCCTTCCCTCTTTCCTTGTCCCTTTCTCGTGCCGTCCCTCTCCCGGGAGCTGTTTCACTGCCCTGCAGCCCCTTGCCGATCGCAGCAGACGCGTTGTCCGCCCCGACCGCCACGGGGCGTGCGCGGGACGCCATGCTGGCTATGAGCCGGCATCGCGGCTGGCAGCCCCCAGCCACGAACCGAGAGTGAGAACAAACACTGATGGAGGTAGAGCCGCTCAGCCTGGACAGAACCTGAATATATTTCTGGGCTTGTAGCTTTTGATTCTAAATGTGTGTTAAAGAATGCTGAAGGGTACAGTCAGAAACGTAGGTACCGCCGTGTATTTTGTCGACCTGTAGCGTTGTGACGCTGTTTTCCGTCCTTTCTGTCCGTGTCGTGGTTCTGGATAACAGACAGTTCATCCGTAGTGCCTGCGGATAGATGTCAAACCCCATGGAGAGAGATGGGTCTTTGCTCTCCTGTGCTTGAAGAGGGGCTGTCATAGTTCCTTTTCAAATGTCACTTGCTTTTCAGCTCAGTCTGTTAGTTTTCACAACCTTGCACAAGAACACGAAAAGCAATCAATAATGCTCTTTTACCGTTTATCCAAATGGTCGGCTCTGGTTAAGAAGAAAATGGCATGCGTGCTATCTTTCTTTCTTGGTGGATAGAATAAGTGCTTCTGCTAGTATGTCTAGTCATGGATCAGCTTTATCTTTATCCATGTATTGCATCCCCATTTTGTTCTCTTGTCTGATATTGCTAGTACATTGATACAGCTTTTCTGTAACTTTGGTTTGGTTTTTAAAGCACTTTTTTTTTCCCCATACCAAGAGAAATTAGAAGCTAAACTGCTTGTTTTACAGAGAGCTCTGAAATGTGAAGTAGTTTTGGCTCTTTTGTACATAAGTATTCAGTGGCTCTGTTTATATCAGTTTAATATGTTCGTAGCTTCCAACAGAGGGACACAAGTTGTTGATATTACAGTGTTTGAGTGGTGGATGCTTGTGAAAATCTGGGCCTAAGCCAGTTGTCTGAAGTTATTCGATATTTCTGTGGTAGACCAATAGAAAAGAAAGCAGTTCTCTTTCCTAGTTCACTTTTCTATGAGTCAAAGGATGTGGGGTTTTTTCTTTAGGTTGTATGAGGAAGACAAGGGTGTCCTAGATTGCTTCAGTCACCCAAGGACTAAAGCTGCATAATTCTTTCCATATTAGCTCTGTGATATAGAATATGAACGTTGTACTTGAGGATGGAAAAGACTTCAAGGATCTATTTAATTTATGAGATAAATACGTAATTTCTAATTCTTCATGTTTTAACTTCTAATTGCATTTTACTTTTGCTTACTTTCAACAGCAATTACAGTATTCTTCAGATGTGAAGAGCAGGACTGTTCAGTTCATGAATTTGAGAAGTGCAGGAACTCTGAGTGACACAAGGTAAAATGTATTTTGAGATACTCATATGAAAATATCAGTTATGTATTTTAAAATTACTTATATACATTTTAAGACTACCAGACTAATGCTGATGTGGTTTAAAGGACAACTACAGTTTTATCTAAAAGCATTTTGTGTGAATTTGGGAAGTCACTTAGGAAATAATTCATGTACCTAAACATGGGTGTCTAGCACAATTTCATGTATATCAGGGGGTATGAAGTTTCTTCTGATGCTAAGAGGGTGTGACACAGCATATGTCGAAGGCTTCTCCCCTTCTAATGCAGCAGCTGGAGACACATGAAGGATTGTGTGGGTGTCTGAAGTGGCTCTTGCCATTAAGTGCCTGAACTGCATCTTGAACCAGTACATGAATCCTGCCTGATCCTAAGGCTTTCCATTCTCCATGCCCCAAGGCGTTTTTCTGGTGTCTCTCACATAAGTGGCATAGACTGTATTTCAGTAACTGGCTCACAAGACACTTTTTTAGAAAAAGGTGTTCTGTATTATTAACTGATATATATTAGATACTCAGTCCATATAACTGTTATATTGCCATCCCATTAGCGAGAACTGAGATTATTTTACTCTGAGATTATTTACTGAGATTATTTTATCTCTACTGTTGGTAGAGATACCCACCTACACATTCATTTAAAAGTTGACACTAATACAAATGGAAAAACTTATGTGATTTAATTACACTTGGTTAATTAAACGGATCTAGAGTTTGTTCCACTAAAGAGGATGACAGAAGCAGTCTCACAGATGCTGTAAACCTTACGTAATGGCTACAAGGATGCTTTCAGACTCTCTGGAGAAGACTTTAATTGTATATATTAGTTCAGAAGCACACTTTAAGTAGCATCTAATTACTAGGCTGTGTTGGTAATTCCAGTCGAGAAGACAAATGCTGTACGTTGACATGGCATGTGATATTGATGTTTCTTAACTGCTTATAGCGTCAGCAAGTTTTGTAGAGCCAAATGACATATTTCTAAGCTGGAGGTGATTTTGTCTCTATTCATAGAGTTCAAAACTAAGTAATCCTTACACAAGGTCCATTTATGAAAATGCCTTTCTTGGAAATCTGTCTCTCCATACTAAAACAGGGGTTAGTATATCTAAGGAAAGAAGTATTTTTTCCTCAGTTAAGAGGAAAAAATTTCAAAATTCCACCGCCATTTATAAGGTGGATTGTCATCTACATCACCTTAAGAAAAATTACTACTTGTTTTATATGGTCATTTCATGGTTACTGTTTCATGCAAGGTCATAGTCTTGGTATGTTTTTATTAAAGGGAAAATGGTGTCTGCCGTGCTTTTCCTCCTAATTACAGGCTTCCATGTCATTTGTAGCTCTTTAGATGAGACCACTTATGAAAAACTGGCTGAAGAAACACTGGACTCATTAGCAGATTTCTTTGAGGACCTGACAGATAAGCCTTTTACCCCAGAAGATTATGATGTCTCTTTAGGGGTATGTTTTAAACATTATTTAAACATTGCCACTGTAATTGCTGTAGGTTGATTTTTGTTGTTTTTTTTAATTAGAAAGAGAATTTTAGATTAGTCACCTTAGTGCTGACACTTAAAATACAATTAGTATTTACAGCTTGATTGTTAAAATATGGCTCCTTTTACTGACTGGGGCAACAATTATGGTAAAAAGCAACAGGATTTGAAATGTTTCATGTATGGAGAAAGGCATATATAGAATAATAAATGAACACAAGAGGAGGTGGAAACTGGTTTATAATTTCTATAGACAGTAGTCTATAAATTTTTCTAAACAGGCATAGACATCTGACATAGCAATCAGTTCCCTTCTGGCGAATACTAGGACAAACCTACATGGCATAGTACATTTACATCATGTGTAACTGTTAGAGCAGTTTCTTTGGTTGCCTGAATACTGAGAAGCAGCATTTGTCTTGACCAAATAGAGTATGTTTGTCTTAGCTTTACTGATGACAACCTATGGTGGAGAGAAGCAACAAGATAATGCAGTGTTGGGGTAAGTGGCTGCAGAAGAGAGACCAGAGCGTACATGGGGAGAAGGCTGCTGTCACAGGAGACATTGGGTGGCTGCTGTCCTGATAACTGGAGCCTTCAGTAGGTCAGCCACCCAAATTCTTTTACAGGAATGATGGACTCATAGGGAATTTTTTAGTTTTTATATAAGTTCAGTTCCTGAAGTGGTTTGTGTTTGTGTGTTACAGCCCTCAACATGACTTGGAGAAGTTACTACACTGCTGTCTGTAACACACGTCTTTGATTAATACATTTTTTTTAGGTCACATAACTACTGCTCCCTCTTTATGTCTTACCACAAGGAGATGGCTTTCTACTGGCCCTATCAGTTAAAGTCTTATGCTCAAGGTCGTTGAAGCAGACAGTTTGGATTGCACTGTGGAAAATAGGAAACCAAATAATTCTGGACTTGCTCCTATATAGCTTTGTCATCATAATGTTCTTTTTTTGTTTCTGGTAACTAGGATATAAAATAACATATTGTTAGTAGCATTCTGTTTAGCAAATACTGTTTTTTGCTTTAAGTATGTAGCTAATGTTACAGCTAATTGCTTTTCTGGTAAAAAGCATTGTTTAACCATCACTCTTCAGTATGTTTTAGGATATCAGCACCTATTAGCATGATGTAAAGAGCTTAGGACAAAAATTAGTAAAAAGATTAAAATTTACCCATTTAATAGCCACTTCATTAAGGTGAAGGTGATGAGTCATTTTATATAATAATTTTTTTTCTCCATCCACTGTATGGTGGATTTTGTTTGACACTGACTCATTATGAGGTTAAAAAGGTAATATTTTTACATGGTAGTTTTTACCAGTTGTCCTTTGTTGCATAGACTGTATAATGACAGTTAATAATGTGCTGTCATTTCTGTTAAGATCAAAAGTTTTAAGTGGTTCCAACTTGTAATTCCAAACAAACAAGACTATTGTTACGGGAAGCCACAAGGTGGCAATCGTGATAAAGGTCTGTTGTGCCTGTCCATTATGGTGAACTTGATTTCTTCATGTCCAGGGGAAAAAAATCTCTTTCGAAGAATATTCTTGTTACCAAGAACGTTCGTTCAGTAGTACAAAACACATACAGCAATATTTCTTAACATATAGTAAAAGTATCTTGCATTTTAAGTTATTAAAAATTCGAGTTGTATTTTCTAGTATTTTAGAAGTATTGAAAAATGTGTGGAAAATGTTTTCAACACAGCAGTAGAAGTTAACCTTTGTTTATTTTGCAATGATAGAGCAACAGTACTGTCTCAGAGCTGACACACAATGTAGTCAATAGTATAAATTTTTGTTAACTATTTGGAAACCTATTTACTTACAGTGTTTCTGTAGCATAAAGGATAATATCATGCTGAATACATAATATGGCACTAAAGAACACATAGAGGAATAGTGAAATCTGTATATTGCTAGTCAGGCTTAATCCCCCATCCTCCTCTTATTGTGCTGTATCTCTGCAACTCTGAGACCACTGAGATATGGAAAAGTTTAAATTCTGACGGCCAAAAAAGTAGCTTGTTCACGTCCTTCTCTGCAGAATACCAATATCCAATAAATAAACTGGAAGGACAACCTGATGGCAGTATGAACCAAGAGAGACTTTTATTTTTGTTGTACTGATCACAGCCATAAATTGCTTAACAAGCACAGAAGCAGCATGTTCTCAAATCCCGAGAGTGTTGTTTTGTGGCTGGTGATCCTTGAGATAAGTTAGAAACCAGTAACACTGAGTTACTTCGTGGGAGAAGGAAACTTTGAGCTGCTGCCTGTGCTACAGAGTAGCAGGCAGTAGATACTCTTATATGAAAATATTTTTCCCCCATAGTAAGTACTTACACATAACAAATAGTCCTAGCAGTGACTGTAGCTCTAGCAGTATCTTCTTACTAAAGCATGAAAAGTATGATTCCCTTAAAGAAGCTTTATTGTGCTATAGGGCCTGAAGCATTTGAGACACTGCAAATTAAATATGAATAAGCTATTATCTGAATCATCACACTCCATTCTGTAGAAGTGTTTCCCTTTTTAATTAGCATAATTCATATCATCTGTAAATTAACTCTAGTCCAAGTAGTGTTGTTTTTTTACTCTTAAAGTTGGAACAGAAAATATTTTTCTCAGGAGAAATGTGAATCAATGTTGTCGGTAAGAGATGTGAGCAAGAAAAAGAAAAGAAATGCTCACTAGGATAATGGTCTAAAGGTGGAATAACTAAAACAAAACCAGAAGACCTCATGGAGTTTAGAACTGGAACATTTTTGAGGTAGTACTGAGAAAAATTGTGTTTATTCCCTGGGAAACTGTTACAGTTATTTAAGAAAAGTAAGGTAAAATTACATGGCTCAGAAATCCTGCAATGACACATAAAGCTTCCTTACTTGTAACCACACCAGTTCTGCATTGTTCATTAATAGAAAAAAGTTGTTATTGCATGATGTTTTAATTGTTGCAAAATGAACTAATGGTCCTTTCAAGATGCCAGGTCAAAGTCCAAGAGTGTCATTTAAGTAGTGCCATTGGTAATGGTACAAACTAAAATCAAACTGATCAGACAGTTTAAAATATAGATCAGACTCAAAGATATGCAGCTTGTGCTAGGTATTAAGACAAGTTTTGAATACCTAATGATCATTTTTCCAAGCTATTACTGTTTGGGAAATAGCTGAGAATGTGATACGTTAAATTTCTGCCACTGCAGATGAAGTAATTGTTCTCAAATTAGCAGAATGCAAATTTTTTATTTCTCACTTTTCTTTGTCTTTAAAGAGTGGAGTACTAACAGTTAAATTAGGTGGCGACATGGGAACGTATGTAATCAATAAGCAAACACCAAACCGTCAGATTTGGCTGTCCTCACCCACTAGGTAAGTTATGTGCGAGTTATGAACGTAATGTCTGCAGGCTGAGTGGAAATGTACTTCCTTTTTTTTATAGCATGGCATCGATCATATCATATCCTTTTCATAAGTAACCCTTTAGCTCTGTATATTCTCGAAACATGATATAATCTAGATGTTCAATTGTGATTTGCTATAGAGGTTTGGGGTGCACTACACTGACATACCTAAATTAATACAGGAAATGTGTAATGCAGAATTTTCATAGACTGTTCTGGTCCTAAACCACTGTCTACAGGACTATAGCCTACTTATAGAAAAAATACTCAGCAATGATTAAAAAAACCCAAACAAACAAAGCTTCTGTTGGAAAAAGACTGATGATGATGTTATGATCTAAACCTCTCTTTGTATTTAAACAGGGTGGCTCCTTCCCTTTTAAGCTTGAGGGATTTCCTGCTTTATATGTTTGTGCTCACACTGTTTGTTTTTGTCAAGCATCTGCACTTCAAGGGAGCCCTAGCTAGCTGCTTCCTCTGCCTTCTCTAATGCTGTGCTTTGATCCGTTCCAGGTTTTCTGATTGGTTTCAGCATGGAGGGCAACCAGATAAGTGAGAAATGTAGCTGTGCCCCCCCCCGACAAGTTTTTATTCTTTGCCGCTATCCCTGAAAAAGAACTGAGGGAGTTGGTCAGTGTTACTGGTGAAGGAAGCAGTTTATAAGATTTTTGTGTCACTAGCACAAAGGTTTCAGTATTTATGAAAACCGAAATTCAGATAACTTCTGTCTGTTTGGAGCCAGCTCTAGTTGATCTAATACTGATGTGCTCCAGCATATGGAATATGGAGTTTGTGAACAAATGTTAAATTTTTCCTTTTTTTTTTTTTTTTTGGTTTGTTAGTTTGTTTGTTGTGGGTTTGGGGAGTTTTCGTTGTGTGTGTATGGTTTTGTTTGTTTGATTGCTCCAGTAGTGAATAAAAATACACAAGAGACCTACTTGAAAAGTCTCTGCTGGTATTTTTCACCATGATGAAAAATTATTCACTGACAAACATTAAGTTTTGTACTCCATCAGCTGATATTATGGTAAACAGTGGTATTTCCTGAAATATGATGCGATATGTTCAGTTACTTTCTCACTTCTGAAAGGCAACTCCAACAAATACTGTATGATCTGGACTGACCTCTTCCCAGCTGCAGTATGCTGGGAAGTGAAAGAAGCAAATGTTGCTGTCAGTAATCACTTGCATTGAAGGTTTTGGGGCATTTGTACAGTAAATGTTGATCTTGAGTCTTTAAGAACATATCCCAATGGAGACAAATTCTCAAGATGTTTAAGAGATGTTTTATTGGATTTTTTTTTAAACCTTCTGTTTGGTATTGTGCATCTACACATCAAAGTAAAAAGTTTCCTTAGTTTACAATTACAAATAAGGGCTGTGAGGGGATGTGTGCAACCTGCCAGCAGTGTGATTACAGTAATTTCATGTAGCTCCTTTGACTGAAAAGACTTTTCAAACTTACATAGTATCACCTTAATGTGATATTTTAATTCTTCTCTCTTACTGTTTAAAAGTGTATGCAGATTTTCCATAAGAAATACATTTAGTCTGTATTTAATTTAGTAGGCATTTCATAGAATTCACAGGATCTTTGCTTAAATTATTAATTTTAAATTTAAAAGTGACATTTGTACAGCATCTTGGAGGTTCAGAGAACTATGGAGGTGTTTCATATGCTAACAGTATCACTGATATTTACTGCATAACATTTAAAACCATTTCAGATAACGTACATATTTCTTTGTTATTGATTAAATGGTCTGTCTTAGGCTGAGTTTCATGGATGACTGGATCCCATTCCATCATTCTCTAGGTGCAGGACGGTATAAACACACGCTTGTACCACAAAGGCTAAGAAATGAGAAATGCAGGGTAAAGTAACTGGAGCACATAATCTTGATTCCAAATAGTTACCAGTTCTGATACAGCCAGGGAGATTTCAGTGAAAGTGATTTTGATTTGTGCTTGTGTTTATGACTTCTCATACTGTGATTAGTGTTGGAAAGTTCTTCATTTGGCTCTTGGGAGTAATTCAGGATATTGAGGTTCAGATTAGTGTTAATGTCTGTAGAGAACCTGCAGGTTGTTCTCATGTATATATATATATATATGTAGGATAGTCTGTTTTCTTCCAGACTTGTATGTTGATTGTCTGAGTTCCAGGACATATTATCGTACAAGATATGTTTATCATCTGGTTTATCCCAGATGAACCTTTCATTCCTATTTCCTTGGTTTACTTGACATTAACAGTAGTGACTACCTTTCAGTTATTGTCCTATTTCACATGTGAAGAATTGGATAGAAAGGTCTGGAATGGAATGCAGCTGTTCAAGTTTCTTTCTTGATACTTAATGTAGGCCTGAAAAAAATCAAGCCAGCAACAATATGATGGAACAGAAGAAAATAGCATTTTAGGTACAAGTCTCCCACATGCCTATATGTTTGCTTTCAGCTGGTAAATGATTTTGTTGCATCTAAAAAGAAAGTGAAAATCGTGATCTCTGTTCTGCTGTGGTTAGAATATCTTCATATGACTGGAGCAGAAACTAATCAGTGGCATTAATTCAGCATGATATTTGTGTACAGGAAAATCATTTGAATGAGGGAAGAAGGGGGAAAAGGAAGAAATCGTGGAGAAATCAGTGCCAAAAGCAGGAAAGGAAAGAGCTTGTCTCCACTGGGAGTGACTGATGTATCTTGTCACCTTTCAGATATATCTGTTTGATGGCTCAGTAGTTCCTGACATACCTGGCCTTTTCTTCTTCACTTCCCCAGACTGTCCACCAGTCATTCCCAATGCTATCTGTTCCTTTTCCTGGGCACTCTCTTGCATACATTATAAATACAGGCTTCCAGCAGGTCTTCTTGAATAATCTGTATTTACACAGTGTGTGATGTTTTTGGTTTTGTTTTTTTTCTAGTGGGCCCAAGCGCTATGACTGGACTGGACGGAATTGGGTGTATTCTCATGACAGAGTATCCCTTCATGAACTCCTATCAAAAGAATTTTCAACAGCGTTAAAAACTAAATTGGATTTATCCTGCTTAATATATTCTGGGAAAGAAGATACTTGATGACATTCTACCTCATGGAAGTTAAAAGACTTTAACATCAAGCAAAGCTCTTTCTTGGTTTCTGAAGTACCTGAGCTTAATTTTTTGGCATCAGTATGTTGTGTAACAAAAATGAAAATAATATATTTTTCCTCTAGTGTTCAGTCTTTTGGTTTGTCTGCTGCTGTTTGAATCTGTGTCCGTGTAGTACAGGTGGTTGAGGTCACCCTTCCTTGTCACTTCATTCCTTGCTTTCTCTCTGCGGAAGTAAGTCATAAATTCTTACTGTCTGTAGTCTTGTTTGGATATGCGAACTGACCCACCTGGTGACTTCCAACCAGCGCACAAACACTAAACTTCTTTTGGTAAGACATTCACCAAAACGAAGAAATGCCTGTAAGTTGCATTGGCATAAGTTGTGGTACTGTGAATGGATTGCATTAAAATTTGTGGCTATTTCAAGTAACACATCACAGTCAAATTGAACATGTCATAACAGATGTAATGACATTTTTTTCTCTTAGTATTGCAGAACTTGCTATTTTCTCCAAATTCTAAATTCTGCTTTGTTTCATATTAGGAGTTTTTTTGTTTTGAGCTAACCTTTAAATTACTTAGAGGTCTATGTGGCTGAAAGCATCTTATAGAACTGGAAAGGCCAGTATGTGATAGATAGGCAGCAATATATCTGCAAATGTTTCATTCTCTTACTGTGCATTTCTGTTTCTCTACCTTTGTGTTCTTCAAAGAGTAAAAATACATACCTTTTTTTTTTTGTTGAGCAAAATTAAGATCATGGTAGCAAAAATTTGAGCTAATTTTGTTCTGTTGCATTTCTTTAGTAAGTGGTCTTAGATTATCTTTTTATCACCATGATACAAGGCTCCTCTTGGCACTGTGCCGAGGCAGAAACTTCTTAGAACTGAATATAGTATTTAGGCTGATGAAGCAGTCTTCATCAGGCTGTTAAAAATGTGAAGGAAATAAATCATATACTCCAGATCTTAAAACAAAAACATTCAAAAGAAATCATAAACTACAAGAACACTTCAACATTTGCACTATTATATTATTACCACTTCTGTATTTTAATTGCCTATAAAATGGAAGGACAAAGTGTTGACTAATGCATGAGGAAACAATTGCACCATATTCGGGTAAATTGTATGAGAAGATGTTCAGTGCAAGCTGTTTTCTTTTGGTTCCTCTGATGCTGTGGTTAGTTTGGAATGATTCTCTGGCTAGCTTTGACAGGTAGGATTGATTTTGTCACTGAAAAACAATAGCTGTAAAGTACTGTCGCCCATTATTTGCCTTTAGAGTATAAGCATTGTTACCTGCTATTTCCCACCACTAAATAGAGTACGATTTCACTGGGAGTAGCTTTTGGTTAATTGTGCATGCTGTTTGCATGTTTTTCAGTCAAAGTAAATTTCAGCTCTGCTGATGAGGTAAATACAATGACTCCCAACTCTCATGAGTAGGAGAGTAAAAGACGCTCTTTTTAAAAAAAAAAAGCAAAGGAAAGGTAAAAACAGAAGATTTTTTGCTGTTCTAAATTTAGAACACTGAAAATATGGAAATAAGGGGGATTTCATGTATTTACTTTTATAGTATTTAGCTCAATCTCCTGGTAGTTCAGATAGCCATTTAAACACATTTGTGTAGATGCTGATGACTTGATATTTGAATTGAGGATACTTCCTCCTGGTTATTCCTTTGCCTGCTCACATTTAATTAGCTTGTGTAATTATTTTTTTCCAATTAACTTTTCCAAAAATTATTTTCTTAAGTAATTTGTATTCAACATCATCACCAACATACCTCTGATTTATATTTGCAGGTTCATTCTCCATTCTCTTATATCTTGTGGAAATGTTTTTACCAAAATAAAGTTGCACGTAGAATCCTTAATTGATTACGTAAAGGTGTGAATTGAGGTTGTAATGATAAGGCTAAAGACTACAGACATGCATATTGTTTTGAATTCTTTCTTAAAACACTGGAAAGGTTCTGTGCAAATTTGGCCAGTCAGGGTGGATTCTTCAGGTTTCACAGTTGACATGCCTTGCCCTTCATCTGTAATACTACTGCTATTTATGCAAACAATTTCCTGGTTTTAGGTATCTGGGTAACAAATGGATTTAATCTTAACTGGTGAAGATAAATAGCGTCAGCAAGTTAGAATGAGTTTTATCTCGGTGTACAAAATGAATCATAGGATGTGACTCATTTTTTGCTTTAATACTTGCATCAAATTGTATAAGGACAAAGACTCCCATGAACTGTCACACTTGGACAGTGGAGGCACAGAATGATCTCTGATCATAATGTCAGACCTTGCCTACTGCCCCAAGACAAATAATGCTTCCATACTATTTTTTACTTCTGTAACTTACTAGAATAAGAAAATTGTTGTATGGTTCCCCACCTGACATCATGTCAATAGTTTCTTGCCTCACCTCTCCCAAAAGAAGTAGGTGAAGAAAAATCTTTTCATACAGACCATGAACAGACAGTATCAATAACAACCATTGTGTTATGGGCATTACTTTTTCCCACAAGACTGTTGCTCTATCATCAGTGAAGGGGAGCATACAGACTGCTCTGGAAAGATGAATATTGGCATCCGTAGCTTTACTGGATGCACAAGCTCAGCACAGAAACTGCAGTGTGTTGTGGTTCTTTTAGCTATATGAGAGTTTTCACCAACAGCTAATCTGATAATTGTTTTTTTCTGCTTTTGGCGTGCTGTCTGCAAGACCTAGCATGTCCGGGCTTGCTAAAATTTATTGCTTCCTCTGTGCTGAGGAATTCTTTGGAAGTCTCAGTTCATTCATGTAGTCAAGCTTCCAGCAATTGCATACAGTCTGTATTCGTGGAGAAATGCCACATTTGGTTGCCAGGAGTTATGTGCCTAAATGTATGTCTGGTGTTTGTTGATTCCTTTCCACTTATGGTAGTTTTTAAGAAAATGTTGCCTCTTCCCTGCAAGACTGTTCTTTGTGATAAAATCATTCCATCTTATTTCCTGAAAATTCCCAATGTCTTTTGGCAGCCTCAAAAAATGGGAAAAAGACCTGTACTGAAGAGGAGGTAGCAGAATAAGAGAGAGGGGGGTTGCAGGGAGGTTTGTATTTAATTACTTTTAGCTTCTCGTTAATGGTTGAACTCTGTGATTGTGCTAGCCAGCTCTGTAATGTGTGGGAGTCCTGGGAAGGAAGGCGGAGGCTTGTCAAAATACCTGGAAGAGCATTCAAAATAGAAAAGGAAGCATGGGAGGGGCAGAAGCAAAGGCTATCAGGAAGAGATTAACTTTGCCCAACGGCTGATGTCATTGGCAGGGCAAGGAGAGACTAGGGGCAAGCTGCTTCATGTCCTGGCCCCTTAGGGAATGGTGTTTTAAATTTACTCCACAGCACTATTTATAATTGTAACCAATCAAACACTCCAGTCCATTTTGCTATTGACTTGCTGCTTGGGGTTTTTTTTTAAATTCCTGACTGGAGTTACATCCATCCCAAATTGTCTTTTATGTAAATTGTACTGTTGGCAGTCGTAGAAAAAAGACAAGATTCATGACCTATACTGAGGGAGATGGTCAATGGAGACTGCTTTGCTGAGGGGTAGAATAAACAGAGCTATGAACAATTAAAGTTTTTTACACAGTTACTAATTACAAACTTTTTTTGGAGTTCAGTTAAGGAAGGACAGACAAGTTTAGAAAAGGAAACAATACATGTTTAAAACAAGCCATATAATGTTGCTGCCCTCTCCAGTTTGCTGAATTGATTTAGAAATTGTTTGTGTCATGGTAGTTATGTGAAGTGATCAGTAATTACAATGAGTAATTTCGTAGGCATTGTTACTTTCCAGATGTAGGCTCTTCTGCTAGCCATGAATGTTTTCTACCGTTCTACTAAAAAAAAAACCAGTAATATATTAAATGTGACAATAGTCTTATTCCTTTTAACAAGCATTTTAGAACCATTAACCAAACATCCACTGTTACAAAACGAAGACATTTGGAGAACTAACAGATGAAGTTTTTAAACATTCATTAATGAAACAAGACACCCAGCACAATGTAAACCAAGTGATCTGACACATACCTGGAAGTAAGACTAAATTTTCACTCCTTGTGCCTAGATTCTGCCTGAATGCAATATTGTATTACGTAGTCATCTGTGAGCCTGTCACTGACTGAAAACATCAAGTTAATGAATTAGCCCTGAATTAGTCTTCCGGCCCCTCTCCCCCCCAGGTGATTGAGAGAGTCACTTGAAGACTGCTCTATGCACATACATGTTAATTATTAACTATATCTACAAGCAGGCTTTTTTCATACAATGTCTGAATGCAGTTTCATATTTGCTGTTAATAAAACAGGCTCTTTCAGTGCCTCCTTCCAAAGTCCAGAAGCTGCATAAAGAATACTGTTTGCCTTCTTTATCTAACTTTCTGTATGAGGCATACTGCATTAACTACACCTATTAGGAAGAAATTTATCTGAATTAGAAACGCTGTGGGAATCCAGAATATTTAGGATCTGTTGAAAAATCATCTGCCCTTTCTCTCCCACAACTAACAAGCCAGAAAACTTGTAAGTAGATTCTGTTTCACAGGCCTGATGCCGGGGAATGCACTGTTTAATTTTAGAGAGGCTTGCAAGGGGTTTAACTGTCTGCCAGATAAGAGAGCAGATAAGGAATTCCTGGTGACTTTAGTGCTTTACAATGCAGAAGAAATACGACTCCAAAGAATCCTGCCAGGGCTGTTTGGTCTTGCCTTTTTCATCTCAGCTGCAGGACAGCAGTGATGCTGTAAAGCTGATACCTGTGGAATGCCAGCCTGGAGTTCCCTTTTGGTATGTTACAGTTTCAGGAACATATTGGTAGAACTGTAGTAACACGAGGTGTTCCGGCCTGGAAATGGAGCTGCTCTGCCTTCTGCTAAACTTGGGTGTTTCAGCTGAGAGTGATGATGTGAACACAGAGCTCTCCCGAATACACCATTTAAACGGCTGCAGCTCTTTGATAAAAAGCGCAGGGAGCAGCAGATTGAGAGGCAGTGTGGAACACTGCACCATGGCGTTAAAGGCTGTCTCAGAGGTCTTCCAGTTAGAAAGGTTCAGATGGGCAGTGATTCCAAGTCCCAAACAAAACACTGATGTAAAAGGAAAACACACCCAGGTTCTAGGCTGGGTGACGGTGCACCTCGCCGGCGGCAGCGGCGACGGGGCTCCGCCGGGCCCGCCCGCAAGTCGGTTCTGTGCCCCGGGCCCGTCCCAGGACTGCCTCAGGCAGAGCCGGAGACCAGACCCGGGGGGCACAGCCGGGGTCTCCTCTCGAGAAACGTGACGGGCAGGGAAAAGCTGGGGGGCGGGGCAGGCTGGCCGCGGTGACTCAGCGGCGCGGAGCACCGGGCTGCGACCGGTATTTCCTGTTTCCTCGCCGCCGCCGCGGGTGTCGGTGTGTGCGGGCGTGGGCCGAGGGCAGCCGGGCGAAGGTTCCCCGGCACTGGGTGGCGGCGGCCGCAGGTGGGGCCCCGCCCAAGGAGGGAGCGCGCTTCCCGCCCCGTCCGGCTGCCGCCGCTCCTCCCCTGCCGTGCCCTGCTCTCCCCATCCCTGCCCTCCCCTCCCCACCTCGGTGCGAGGCCGGCCTCCCCCGCCCGTGCCCCACAGGAAGTCGCCCGACTCGGCGGGAGCACCCACAGCAGCCCCAGCCCCGCACTTGGACTCGGCGCCCCGGTCGCTGCCCGCTCCGGGGCGGCGGGGCAGGGCGGAGGGCAGGGTGAGCCGCAGTCCCAGCGCCGGGCCGCCTCTGGGACCTCTGCTCCCACTGCTGGGCGCCCTCCGTGAGCAGGCGAGTATCCCCGCGGGATATCCCCGCCCCGACCCCCTGCGCCGCACCGCTCCCCTCCGCCCGAGCAGGTGAGGTGCCCCTCAGCACCCCTTGCCCCCGCCGCCACTGCTTCCGCTCCCCTCCCCGGCGGCCGCGCTGCGGACACGGGTTGCGCAGCTTCTCCCTCCCGCTCTTTTGTGTGCTTTGGGTTGTATCTCCCCCTCGCCTCAGTTCCTCGGGCGTGCTTTGCCGCCTTCGTCCGCGGGGCCTGAGGCGAGGGCTGCGTCCACCACCCCGAGGGGGCTCTCCTGGTCCGGCGCCGCTCCCGCCGCGCACCTGGGCGGCGCAACCAGCCGGGCTTGGGCCGGGGATCGGCTTTTCCCCTAACGGGATTAAGCGGCTCTCGGTGACTTTTTCCGTGTTAAGTACTTTCTGGGAGAGTGCGATACTAGGTGGAAAGTGGGAGAGATGTCACCGGCGAGTCGGAGTGTTTGTTTACCCGGGTTTTTCCCCGCGGATGGGGGGGGGCGAATCCCCCGGCCAGCGCACGCCCCCGCCGTCGGGGGCTTGGGCTGCCTTTGTTGCACAGAGAATTTCTGAAATCTAAGTTGGCACATCCCGAGTGGATTCCAGCCGTACCTTGGGCTTTGGCTAAGTGGGTCAGGGGAAGTTTCAAGTTAACAGGGAACTGT